GAAATGTTATCACCATGAGAACTTTGTATCATTGATGATTGTCTATCAATAGCTAAGGCAAGTTGTGCTGATGTTGAAATATTTAAAACACCTTGATTTTTTTTTGGTTGACAACTAAATACAGAACATTGTAAATCACCAAGAGCAACATAAACAGGAATTTTTTTCTTCCAATAACCAATAATAGTACCTGGTTCAACAATATTTGGTAATAAACGATGTTCAATAGGCCATTTATTATCTACCGCACCCCAACTTGTTGCCATTTGAGTTGATATTTGTGAATTAATTGCTGAATCTTCACAAAGAATTTCAACAATATAATCAGCAATTGTACCAGCTCGATCATATTTTATTAATTCATCTTCTTTTCCTTTTTGTTCATTAATTAACCATAATAAAGTAGCTAAACCATAACCAGTGCGTAGATGTATTAAAGATGGTGCAAGTGTTGAAAGAAATTCAGTTGAACATCGTTGATCTTGCCATGTTACAAGTGAAGATACAATTGTACGTGGTGATTTTGATGACCAAAGAATAAAACCATGCATTTGACCACAAATTTGAATAGATTTAATCAATGAATCATTATTAAGACTACCTGATTTCTCTAGAAGTTTATCGACAGTTTCCAGAATTTTTGATGGACATTGTTCATCAAATGAAGTAAATTCTTTTTGAATAATATGAGCATTATGAGCAAGTTGTTCAGTAAAAATAATACGATTGTTTTCATTTAATGATGATGATGATGAAACAACACAAATTTTGCATGATGTCGTACCAATATCTATACCGAGAGAATACATCTATAAACGACAGAAAACGATAAGAAGAATAAGACGTCCTCATTCAAAAAGAAAACAGAAACGAACAACATTATTTGATTAAAGCCAAAAGAAGAAGAATATATTTGAGGTATGCTGTTTTTTTTTACATTATTTAATGAAACAAGGAGAGGTTTCTCTTTCCAGGGCTCGATTTTCACCTGTACTTTAGCTTTAAACATTTCAAGATATGATTCGAAATATGGTAACCTGCTTCATTTTCGCATTTTTCACTCTTAAGTTGAAAAGTCATTTTGATTATTAGGAAATTTTATGGATTTATTCATTGGTTTGCAAAGAATTGAATTCATTTGATAGTGAATCTGAAATGTAGACAAGATCAGAAAATGAAAGACAATTATATTTGAATTCGGTTTAGCAAAAGAAAAAAGAGATCTCCGTACCCACAAGAAACAAAAAAACCTGACTGGTTAAAACGAAACACCCACTCAATGAGATGTATGAGAGATGTCAGTGTTCGTTTTGAATCGGCATATGTTTGACAACAAGAAAAAAAGAAATCTATAAATCTATTGTTTTACAAATTCAATGATGTCGTTGGTTGCTGTAAAATCTTCATGAAATTTCAGTCGTCACTGCTGCGACACAAGCTTAGATACTGGATTTTTCAAGCATTTTCGAGCGCTAGTATCTTTTTGCGGAGATGTTCTTGTTTAATGTCTTATTAGTATGTTGTCTGCCATTTTTTCGATTTTAAAATCCCTTTCAAAAAGAAATTTCAGCCACTAGTCCGTTCATTGACTCTTACTTTTATTTACTATTAATAGATACATTATAACAAAAACATGCTAAAATCACTTAACTTAAATAATAGGTTTGTAAAAGAAAAATATAGAACTATTTTAAATCACAAGTCGAGTTACTTCCTGGTAAATTCTCTACTATAGAGACAATTAATGCATTTGTTTTTGAACTTATTAAATTTTTCATTCAAAAGTGTTCAAATGATCGTCAATACTTTTTTTTTATGAAAACCAATTTTTACTTAGTGAAGAAGACGTAAAAATGAACAAGCTCTGAGAAAGAGAAAGAAATTGACTACATAATTATCAGAAAAAAAAACAATTTCACAGCAATTGAATATTGCCAACCTATTGTCAGTGAGAAGAAAATGACTGCAGTAATATTTCTGTTAAATATAGAAATTCGACAAGATATGTAAACTGATGTATTAATCGGCAGTGGTGGTAGGATACGCTTAACGCCTTTTTTTTTAGCTTTCGACACCAACAACTAGATATATCAGCCGCTCTAGTGACGGTGATTGGAAACCTTCGATGCTTTTTAAAAAGAGATTGTTAGTTCGGAGATACTTTAAAGTAAGAAAGGCAGAAAATAATAAGATATTAGACAAGAGCATTTCCGAAAACTGATTACAAGAATCGAAAATTTTCAAAAACTTAGCATTTATAATAATGTCACGGCGACAGCTGGAATTTTCAGCAACTATTTATAGTGACGGCTAGAGCGTTGGCAGTGTCTCTGCTGAACAGCTTACAGCTCTACCGTCGAACGAGATGATGTCTGTTATAGAATAAAACAAAGGCTAAATGCAATATCCTGATAAAAATTGCGAAAAGATCAATCGTATTGGAATAGTAGAAAAAAGGAATTATAATAAAGTCTCAATGATATATTATAATATACACATCCTGTTATTAAATCAATGTAATGAAAACTAAATATTAGAACACTAAGTACTATTATAAAACAAATAATATCAGGAGTAAAATATTTAACAAACTTGACGGTACCTATGCGTTGCAAAATAAAATTACTGTATCGTTGTTCTGGTTTTATATCAAGCAGATGAATTTATTTAATCCATTAATATCATACTCACTATCCGGAAGACGTATATAAATATCTTTCGGTAAGTATTTAACATGAATCGGATGATGACTAAATCAATCAATAAACAGAATTCACCTATTTTATTTCACCATGATTGTTTTCGAATCGAAACAATTATCAATGATTTCAAAACTTACGAGAAACAAATTATCATAGCCAGAAAAATAATATTTAAAAAGACAGTAGATCTCTTATGCTGTTGAAAATAATAAAATAATTTCATAGTTAGAATGTTGTTAATAAAGTGCATTTTAATGAAACTCTAAAATACTTGTAAACTTGTACTTGTAAAAAAGAAGCCATAAAACTATCAATGTGTCAAAGCGTCATGAAAGGATTTCATGAAAACAGTGTAAGATGATACAACAATAAAATAAGATGTTAAAGGATGATAGTAGATTTTTCCCATTATTTTCTTTTATTTTATCGATTTTTCATTGCCTGCAAACTTTCAATTAAGATCATTTTGGCTTGTTTATGGTATTGCTATACTCCTAGCATGAACTTATATATTATCATATAAAAAATTTTATGTTTGAAAAATTAATGCACTAGAATAATCATAATAACAATTCCATTAGCCAAATCAAAACTCAAATTTTATAAGACAAAGTCTAGCACAAACTGTCATGTAGCTCACCTATCATAGTATGAAGTATATCTTACTAGAAACAATAATTAAGAAATCAATCATAATTTGTATGTGTTTTCTTTTTTTTTGTTGATTTTATTACATGTTGTTATTCAGACTATCCAGACTATAATGAAGTTTTTAAACAAATACTAATCTTCCATTGAATAAGAGAACGTGATGTCCTATTGGAAAAATTTATACCGCTTTTCTAAACATGAATCTCTATGGCTAGTTAGCGTTTTGATAGCTTTTATCTATAAACCTAATGGCTTTGGAAAAACTCTTCTGGTATTTGAAACACACTTTTTTTCACCAACAAAGTACCAAAAAACCAGGATTTTTTATTGAAAATAATAGTCATTTTTATTAAAAATACTAAGGTCTTGATTCAAGCTGAGTTTTTTTAAGTGTACAATCCAAATAGCTGTTGAGTTTCCAGAAAAAGCCTTCGATAAACTCATGGCCTTCTATTTGACCTTGTAGCATTATTCTATATACATGACTTTCTAATCGAATGAGGGGGAGGGGGTGCTGTAAAGAGGATTAAATTTATCGTAACATAAGTTAAATAGGTATTATCAAAAGAAACTTACTGTTACAAAAGAATACTCAAATCTCGGTACAATGCAAAATAACATCATTTTATCTGGAAATATTTGATGATTGTTACTTTCGAATGAGGAAATGATCTGTAAAAAAAACATGCAAAATATTAATTTATAAACTCTTAAGTAATTGCATTTGTTACGCTCAAACACTTTCAAATTTATTCTCTTCCAGCAAGTGAATATGACCTGTAAATATACAAGATAAATTTTTTTCAGCAAATTAATACGGACAGATATAATTGTATGCAATACGCCATCTTAGTTAAAAATCTATAAAAAAAAATTATATATGGGATTCCGATGATTGAATATTCATATTATAAATTGTTACGAAGAATAAAAGTTTATATCGTAAATAATCAAAAGATAATTGGAACATTTTCACAGTGAAAGCTCTTCTCTATTTTTTGCCAAAAAAATTCAACTACTTTTAAAAAAAAAGTTTTGTTTGCAGAAATTTTTAATAATAAAAACAATAACACGAACACGATAGGTAACTCAATTTAATCTCAATGAAATTTCGCTAAGGACAAAATATAATTAAGACGAATAGAAGAGGATATTATTTGAAAGTAGCCGTCATCTATTCGACTTATGAATGAACTTGATGCAAGCTTATTTTTAGAAATAATAAAATCTTTTATTTGAAAAAAAATCTTGTACGTATTTTGACGCAGTCGTGCATGTAATTATGTATTCATTTATTTCTCATTTTGGCAACGTATTAAGAAAATCTTGAATAGCTTTTCTTTTTATTGCAAACACAATAGCAAAATCTTCAAATCTTATGAGGACATAGAATGCATTGTTTTTTTATTTCTAATTATCCAACGCGCCTTTATTCATTAGTTGATATTAAAGGAGAATGCTTTATTGATATTGACAATATCGTACACTCTGTATAATGTATGATCATTATACGAAAAGTGAACAAATTTATTTGAAATTTATTTTTTAATCTTACTACAATGTCATTTATTGTATTTGACATGTCATATACATAGATTTGAAGCATTTCATAAGAAGATATCCATCCTTGCGACATACCATCAACATTTATTCTAGTTCATTGGCAGAAAAACTTCGTTGAGCTATTTCAGGAAAAACTTGATTTCTTTGTGGACTTGTTAGTGTTCTATCATATAGAGATTTAATCAAGCGCCAAGGTTTTTTTATCAAAACAGTTTTTGCTTGACGCCGAAAACGTGATGATACCATCAAAAAGACATAAAAATTGACCTAAAATAAGATTCAACATATAAATAAATAGTCTCAAGACAAAACTAAGTTTTCTATTTTAATTTACCACAAAATTAGCATGCATAAATGAAGTAGTTATTGATAATAAGAAACTAACGATTGCCAATTCGGTAGAATTATTTTCACTGTTGTTTACATTAAGTTGATATAGAGAAATACAAACATATGGTACACCACCTATAATAAGAACCATAACACGTGCTAAAGTCATTGCTGTCATTTGACGATCAAGGCGTCGACGATATACTGGTAGTTGTCGTCGTATAATCCGACGAACGTTGTGATAAGCCAATAAACTAGTTGTCAGAGTAATTGTTAATGGGAAAATACTGGTAATAACCGGATAATAGAAAAAAGAATAATAACGTTTAAGTATTGGATTGTATATACTGCAACCCATTGATGGTTGAATCTCAGTGAAAATGAGACAAGTTATACTATTCAATATGGCAAAACAGATATTGAAATATGTAAGATAATGAGCTAAGTTAAGTGTACTCATTTGTCGCCAACTGAATCGAAGATTTGTTGATAAATATTGATCAAAAGAAAGACAACATACATCAAATAGAGAACATAAAGCAAATATTTGTAACACCATGGTTCGTATTTTGCACCAACTGATTGACCTTAGAATTGGATCATAGCCAAGAATATAAATGAGAAGTTTTGATACATATATTGCAAGGAGTAAACCAATATTGGAGATTGACTCGACAATAAAATAAAAAGCGGATTGATTTCCTTTAAAAACTTTCAGAGTAGCAAACACCAAAATCATTGCAATATTACCAATCATTCCAGCGGTTAAATTAAAAATACCAGCATTTAACAAATATATTTCGCCAATGACCTGAAGTTTTTTGGCCAATACTAATGATAACATGTTGATTTTAAGATAATAAATACGTTCGTTTAATTTTCAGATTAACAAATAAATATATTCTGTGAATAGTAAACAATGATAACTGCGTCAACAGATCATCGATATTTGCTTTTCTAATTTGAAATGTCAATATTTCTAAATAGAAATTTAAAAAAAAATACTGTATTTCAATCGATCACATTTGAATATTTAGACAAACTATCGTATCACATAAAAAATATGAATCTATTAGCTATTCATACATATGAAAAAAAGATTAGGACACCAACGTTTAGTTTTCTCTCATGATGTGAAGAAAACATTAACATAAAATAGAAACAGAAACTCTGTGGCTATCTCGTTATCAAACTGCTATGTGAAATGTCATAAACTCAATTGCTTTCTTCAACAAGAGAAAGTAAGAGTCTTTTCTATCAGACTGACTTTGAACATGCAAGGGTTTCATCGTAATCTAAGATTATAAAAAAGATTAGATTCAATATTCATTTTGTTTTTCTAATGAAAAACAAAAAGTGTCGGGTTTTAGTCGGCTGCATACAATTCTTGATACAACACTTTAATCATAAATATTTAGTAGATAATGAAAAGTCTTGCGTACAGCTTTATTTTTCTCAAATCTATTTAATTTGTCACTATGTTAAGTATTCTTTCATGGTGTCTAGGTGTGTTCTTATCGATCAATGTAAACGTTCACAATATAAAGTCTGAAGAACTTTCTTAAAAATTTATTGACGTTAAAAAGACAAATCAATAAGACAGAAGACAACAACAATTAATTCTATCTGTATTTATATTCGAAAAGGAGTTTGGTTGAATTTATCTTAGAAAAAGTAAACACATCTTCGTGTGATAAATTTTCTTTTCTTACCTTTATTCTTCATTTATTATGGAATAATAGTGGAAAACAATATTCTTAAATTGAGTCTAAATTATGTTTTTCATGTTCATTTCTGACTATTTTGTACTAAAGGAAGAGTAGTGATACATTTCGAATAGGCTTTAATAGTGATTTATATTAACAATTAAAGTATTTTTTGTCTCGTTTAAATTGAGACTAGTTTGTTATTTATATACTTACAAAAGAAAGATCATTTTTTCATTTCTATCAAATCTTTCTAACTTTACTTTGCAAAGACGAAATATCAAATTTTTAATATGCCTTTATTGTTCACCACTACAAACTCGGAAAGTTTTTTTCTGATATGGTTTGTTTATTTTGGGGCCATGCATTATGTTCCAACCAATGATAAAATATTGTTTAATTGCTAAACTACAATTCTCTTTTCCTTTCACATGCAAACGTAAAAACAAAACGATAATGAACTAATTGCTAAATGTTATAGTAACATGCAAAAAAGCAGAGATAAGAGCTATTATTGATTTGTTATTATGAGCAGAAAAAGAAACTGAGCCTTCCTTAAAACAGGTAGAGATAAACTAAATGTATCTCAGACTGAAGAACACACAGATCAGAACTTTCATACATCTTACTTTTCACAATTGATAATTAACAAAGTTTCAAGTAATTGATTTGATTGTCAAATATATATCGATTTATGCACGATACTCTCTTATTCTTGGTGCGGAGTTCACTTCAATTTTAAAACTAGTTGCATTATAATTAACAGCAATATCGAAGTACCTGCCGCAATAATAATCAATATTGTCTTTACTAAATTAAAAACTTTTTTTTTATTTAACTACGCTTAAAACTAATGAGAGAACGTTTTCAAGTGTCAAATCGCGTTCGAGTCGAGACTAATGTGAATCATATATGTTCTAATGAGTTATGAATATCCTGAAAAGAGTTCGAGCTAATAGCTTATTAGTGCCGAAATATTGTATTTTTCCTATATTTTTTAGCAGAACACTGTGATCCTCCTCAGAAACACCACGAAAACTGCGTTACATATTTCGAATCGAAACTGCAGAGATACAGGCTTAACAAGAATGGCTTACTATGAAAGTTTTAGACTTTTTGATTGCATCTATTCCAAAATAAGAACATTGGAATTAACCGTTGCATATGAGTTGCAAGAAAAATATCCTTTTACCATAGGCATATCTTAGGATAGAAACAATCCAAAGATTTGAAACTCTTACAATAATCTATATTTATGAAGGCTTGGCTGTATGCAAAGTTTCAATTCTAAATTCAAAACTCAGTTTTCTTGATGCTCCTAAGGGACTGACGACAGTATTCTGCTAAAAGATACGGTAGATTTACAGTATCACGGCAGTGATAAGCTAATATTTCACAGTCTTTTTGAAGTATTTATATCTCATTAGAATCTACATGACGCACATAATCCTGACTAGAAAACAATTTGACCCTTAGAAATGCTTCCTTTCTCAGTAATGCTCGAAAAAGTCTTCCTTTTTCCATTACTTTATAATAGCTTATCTGTACAGGGACAGTTCTTCGAAACGTTTGAATTTAAGTTGACATATGATTTCTTTTGGAATGGTATACTATTTTTTTTTCAAACATCAGTGATATCAAAGAACAAAAATGATAACGGAATAAGAAGCAGAAAACCAATTTAATGTGCCATATAATTATTAAACATATTCCAACTAATCATGATGTTTTGAAATTTTATTAGATTCAACTCGTGCAAATGAACTTAGAGTAGGGTTTCTATTCTTTAGTTCCTTTTAATCATTTCTTTTCTGTGTTTGTTCTGATCATCATGTTACATTGCTTGCAACAATCTTTAATATGCAACAGCATATGTAAATTTTTATTCCTGCATTCCTTAATTTTATTCGTTTTATTTGCAATGTCATTGTTAGCATACACTTTTTTTGCAATTATTAATGAATAGGATAACTAGTGATATTCGGTTATGAAGTCTCAAGTGAATACTCTCATTAGTTTTAACCATATATCTGCTCATTTCATATATTTGTTAACAAATTGATAGTAAGAGACAAGAAAATATGAAAAAAAGAATAGATGAAAAGACGATGGAAATATTATAGACAATAGATTACTTGCATGATCCAATTGTCTTAGTTCTATGTCCGATTTATCTGCAAGTTGCAGTGAGATTCATTTCAATATGTATCTCAACAAGAGCGTTCAAAAAATAAGTAACTAAGAATATTTCTGGAGGAAACGTAAGAAATAAAATTAGATTTTCGTTCTTCCCGTAGAAATCATACTAATTCTAATAGAAAACGACTCTCCTCTATACAAAAGATTCTGTCCAATAGTCTTTCGATCTTTATGCAGTTGAATAAATCGTCGTAATATTGAAGAAATTGAGTTTCATGTTTGATCATCAATTTGGTTTGAAATAGACAATTTTATAGAAAGAATTGCATCAAAATTTATATCACATCATAATTTTCTATGCTTGCTACTACCTTTTTATTAACTTTATTTATTAAATGAACGCATGTCTTATTGGCTTTTAATCGGGTCTTGACAGTTTACGTCAGAGCTACTGATAACCCATCTTTCTTATAATTCTACACTGATGTATCACTCTGATTTCATTTGTTCTCTTGATTTGTTTTCATAAAGATAAGATAATAACAACTTCTTGCACAAAATAGCGAATTAAAACAAGTAGAAAAATCATCATTAGTCTTTTTCATACAAGTAAGGTTTGAATTAATGCAATGTTTTTGATCGTGTCAGTACTGTTTCGCATTACTAAAAAGGCCAATCATGATAACAAAAACAGCATACAATCAAGCATATCACGAAGAGATAAAAGACAATAAATATGACAAAGACGTAGAGAATGAGTGATACTTATAACAACAGACGAGGACATTTACATTGAACAATCAATTTTAGCAATACCACCAATGCACACTCTACTATTCAGTTGTTTTGAATCTAAACGAAACGCTTTGAAACAATAAGGCAATGTGTCAACATTTGATGTTCACAACGTAGGAGCTGGGTCAACAACTTTGGTCTGGTTTGTTATGCTAGTCAGGTTGAATGTTAAGTGAACGAATCAAGTCAGACTAAAATTTCAAAGTTTGACCTGACGCAGAGGATATGCTTGCCAGGCAAAAGATTAGCTCGATAGCTATGATTTACAGATTCTTTTGATTTTTTTCTTAATATCTAAAATAATGGATTTGACAATAGTTGCAATAAAAACATTTGACAATGAGAAACAGTTAAATCATCAATCAACACTATTTCAATGAATCACAATGAAACATGTCAGTTAATTGTCTTACTTCGTCAATGATATAATCAAAGCACAAATCCAATTTTTACCCTACTATGTATTTAATTTGATCTCTATCTGAATACATTATCTTGTGTCCTGTCGTATTATGGCTTTGATTTTCACCGCTAACATTATTCTATCTGTGACGAACATTTTTGTTTTATGTCATTTAAATTAGATAACATACTGATCTTTTTATCCAGATTCAGAAGCGTCAATCAAGTATGACAAATATATATATATGAAACATATTTGCATAAGATATCATAAGTTATATATAAGAGAACAATCGACTGATAATATTTAGGAACTATTGTTGGCATGAGATAATTGGAAATTTTTTTCTTCTCATAAAAACACAACTAAACAGATTCTATGATGAATGCACTTGCTTGAGCAGGCTCTGGAGCAATTTGATTATTTCTTGGAATTGTTAATCTAGGATTAGATAATCTTGTCCAAGAACGCCGAATTATTTTGATAAAGAAATGTTTCACTTGATTACGATAACGCGGCGATAGTATTAAAAATAAATAAAAATTAATCTACAAAATCAAAGTTATACAAACAATTTTAAGAGTCAATAAAATAAGTTAACTTACAGCATAGTTGAGATATAAAATTGAATATATGACGACTGATGACAGACTAAGAATGACCTGTTGTAAATGGTCGTCCATGTGATATGTGATATTAAGTCGGAACAGACTCAAAACAATAAATGGTATACCCAAAATGAAAATGCACATCACCCTCGTCAAAGCAATTGCTGTCATTTGACGGTCAAGTCGACGACGCATCAACGGTACTTGACGTCGAACGATTCGACGAACATTTCGAAATGCCAATAAACTGAATAAACCACTAATAGTAAATGGAAACACACAAGATAGGACCGGATAATAGAAAAATGAAAAGTATGCCTTTACTGTAGGATGATAAACGGTACATCCTAACGGACCAATTTCGGCAAAAACAAGGAAGAGTATTCCATGAATTAGTGCAATACTTATGTTGAAATATGTAAGACGATAAGCTAATTTAAGTGTACTTATATGTCGCCAATTTTGTCGATGATTTGTTGATAGATATTGATCAAAAGCAAGAAAACATATTGTAAAAAGAGAATATAAACCAAAACTATACGAGCTCATTAGCTGTATTTTACACCAAATGACTGATATACGCACTGGATCTTGACCTATAATATAACCAGCAATATTGGATGGTAAAATTGCAAGAAGTAGACCGATATCAGTTGTAGATTCGATTTTTAGATAATAAGCGCATTGATTTCCTCGAAATATACGCGAAATGCTAAACATTAATATAATTAAAATATTACCAATAAGTCCAATGAATAAAATGATGATGCTGGAATAGAACTGATATTCCTTGGATATAACACGAAGCAGTTCGATTTCGTCTAATGATGACATATTTTATTCTTAATAGAAAAAATTATTGTTTTTAAAAATGATGTTGATTCAACAATTTTTTTTCTTTGAGAATTAACATTAACATGTGGATCAAATAACAAGTTTTTTTTTTTTATAACAACAGTTTCAAGCGAAATAATTGAGATAGTTGCATATAATAATTTGATTCAATCAACCAACCGTAATAGTTTTATATTGTCTTAATGTTGTCACATTTTAAAGCATCAATTCATATATTCAACGAAGCATATTTTTTCTTGTATGTGATATTATAATTCTAGAACTAAAAAAAAAAGACCTATTTCGTACATCTCGTCCTAAAAGAAACAGTGAAAACAACTAATACATGCTGTACGGTACTTAAGATGAAGAATATTTATTTAGGTATTGATTATTATAAGCAATAGTGTCCTTCAATAGTATTGTTTATTGAATAATCGTAGAGAGCCAAACAAACTCCATCTGATTTTTTTGCTCTCTATGATAAAATGAATTAGAATAATATTCCAAATATTTCTTAACTATGTCATAAATAGACTTTCGTTAACCATATAATTGTCTCAACTATGATCTTCGATTTTAAAACCTTCTATGATAATTAATGCTATTATTCAAAAAATACTATGACCTATATGGATATCTTTTCTGATACATACAAATGGTAGTTAATATTATAATCAGTCATTAATTTTTTTTCATCAATGCTTTTTGTGTATTTTATATGAATACTCGGTATGCATACTGATTATATTCATAATACAATAAACGAAGACTTTTATTTATCATCAACAATCTCTTTCAATAAAAATTAGGATAATTCAAAGTTCATTTCAGTTCATTTTATCCTTTAATAAAAAAGAGAAAACGTGGGCGGATATGTCTATACGAAATACCTTCTAAATCTTCAATTTATGAAAAGTACGAAACAAAGTCTTCAAACAAGTTTTTAACGTATTTCCCGATACACTCTACTTGAATGTCAATTTATGTTTATTTAAGAATAAATACTTGGATTAATCCTATTGAACTTACCTCCTAATATCATTCTAAATCAGATTTCAGACACCATCTAATCTTTTAGTTTGCTTTTTAACTTATTGTATTATTTATTAGCTCATTACAAAGGATTTACACGAGTTTATCTATCTAGATTATATTGATCAGTCACAAAAATAATAGTATCTCAATAATGAGTTAGTTCTATCTAGTTCATAAGTCGTTACGAATAAAATATGAACTCTTAGAAATATATTTTCCACTATGTGTACTGTGTATCTTTTGAACCCTTTTTATTCGTCTATTTTGCTTCTGTCATAATAAAATTTCAGTGAAACTTATACATAATTCGATATTAAGTATAGATATAGTAAGAATATCAAAATTCAACATCATCACTCCATGAACTCATTCCAAAATAACTGAATTTCTATTTCTATATTGGATTTTCATGGAACACAATCATTTAACTGATTACACTACTTCTTCATCAAAAAAAAAGATAAATATTGGTCTAAAAAGGAAAAATATAATAACAAAAAAACAGTATCAGAATCAAGAGAACTTTCTGCCTTATCCCAAAATACATGTATAACAATGGATATCAGCGATTATATTAGTTCTGCTATCAATGGCTATAGACAATTGTTTGTTTTCTGTTTTACGAAGATTCAGTTGATACAAAGAATAAATTATACAGAGTGAATCAATGTTGAATAACATAATACATATGTGCAATGACCATGGTTGCACATCGGCAATCTGGCTGACAACGGATCATGAGTATTTGTCATTGCACAATCAGACAAACATTGTGATAAACTAACAAAAACTATTAAGTAAAAAATAAAGTACTACTTTGTCTCTAATACATACGTGTCATTAACAAATTTCCATTGAAATGAAAAAGAAATGCTATCCAGGCAAAAAAAAAGACAAAGAAAATTGAAAAACTTAAGATGATGAGCTAATATGAATGTATTGTTTTGTCGCTAATAGCATCTGGGAAATTGATGACTATTTGTTCTTCTACATTTCCTGTCGACTGACGCATTGTTAGAACTCCTAACAATTTTAAAAAACCAATTAAAAACAAATTGCAATTAGACATCGACATCGTTTTCTCTCAAACACTGCACTAAGACTTTACCCTCACTGTTAGTTAATGCCATCATCGTTCGCTTCAGAGGAGGTAATACTTCAAAAGAAAAGATCATATTCTTTTTCAAAAACTTCTTACATCTTTTGTAGAATCCTGATATACTATAGAAACAAATCATGATCACATTTATATTTGTAACAGAGGAAAAATTTTCAAGTACTTTTCATTTCATATTTATGCATGACGGCCTTAATGGATGGCGTTGCTGAAGAATAATGAAAATGGCATACTAGGACAGAAAAAAAGTTTTGCCATAGTTCCGTTTTATGAAAAGAAAAGAAAACATGAGTTTTTATAAGTGTTGAAAGAAAAAAAACGTTTCTTTATTGTTAACGTCAATAAAGATAAAAAATAAAATGAATTAATATTTTTCTATAAATGAATGCATAAATAATCTTGAAAAATACAATCTACTTTATATCAAAGGACTAGATAAAGATAAAAAAATGCCACAAAACCCTACTTTGAATACATAATAATTGTACAAAAGTATGGTTTAAACATTCTAATTGATATATTCTTCATTTTATTAAATTGAAAGGTCTAATTCGTAGTTAGTCTTTGATAGGAAAATTAAGAATTCATCTCTTAAATGACCTCATGGAAGTTGAAATATGAAAATATATGTGCGTCCTTGCAAATATTTTATTATCATAGAATTTCTTAAATCTAAACTATCAATCAAATAGAATTACTTTTCAAAGATTTTTGAATAGAAAATTCAAATTAAGTAATTAATTCTTTTTGTTTCTCATTGAGTATATAATTGACTCGGACGCCTATGTCCACTTAAACCATATTCTTTAAAAATGAAAACATAATTATGAAGACAAAAATAAAACTAAGACTTATCTCTTATGCATCAAAGATCCATGAGTTACTCTCACATCGGGTCGCACCTCTTTTTTGAGTTTTACTCTGTGAATACATTTCGCCCTAGCTAATTTGTTTCCTTCGTGTTCTTCTAAAAGGTATCAAGCTGTGGAATGGCGTATCACACGCTCGAAGCAAGTTATTTTAGTCTTACATCAGCGTGCACTAGAGCGCGAGGCTGTCTCATGGATCTCTGTGATGCATAAAAATCAAGTTCCATCGAATGTCAGGATTTTGGAACTTTTTCTTTATATAATATGATGAGAATAGTTTATATGTTGTTCTACTCAAAACACATAGATTTAACGCAAAGCTTTTTTAAAAAGTTTATGATAAGCAGTGATTTAGAAAATAAATGCCCTGAAAAAACAACAGGTAGGACACTCGATCGCCAAGAAATAATCTACCAAAAAGAAATAATGGAATGTTCTCACCATACTGTAAGAAAACGAGTTTATTTTTTTCCTGATGATAGAGGATAGTTGCAAGCTTTTATTCATCAATCATTATCCTATTGACACATTTGAAATTTAGTACTATCTACTTCAATTCAAAAGTTGGCATTTTTTTCCGGGCACTTTCACGAATAGTGAACCAGAAGCAATGCAGATATCTAAGAGTTTTTCTTTTCAAATTTTCTATTTTCTAAAGACTTTTTTGTCAGATTATTTCCGTAAAAAGCTTCTCCTATTTTCAACAATAAATGAAAGTCCTATGGTAATAATACTGGAAAAAGTCAATGTACTCCAGAGCTTCAAAGCAGTTTGATACCAAAATGATTAGTAAAAAAAAGCTCAACAAAAAGGAGCATATAAAAATGTTTTTGAATGTTTTAGTGTCTTTGTAGCTGACTATTCATGCAAGTCTTGTATCAAAAGTATACTGCATTCGAATGAATTTCTGGCGAATCTTCCGTGCAAGAAAATGTGACAAGATTCTAGAAAACCTTGAAGACTCCAGATAGTTTAGCAAAAAGTCAAAGATTGCATATAAATTATTTTAAAAAATTGAGAAACTTAATAATATTACAGTCACCTCACATCTATCGTTTATGTATGCTACAAATAGAAAGTGTAGATTTTTCTCTTTTAAATAGATGATAAGAATGATTTTAATTGATTTTACTACAGTTTTTGCTGATGAATAAAAACTTTGAATTCTCATCTATGATTAGGCAAAAAAAATTAACTCATTCTTTATATGAAAAAATAAAAATCTCGTAATTACGATATCATCTTTGAAAGTTGAAAACTCATCAGTATTAAATTGTACCAATTATCATCGGTTATAATCTTATCTATTATTGTGTTTGATTTCAATCGAAATCAGAAGGTTCTTTACGTATCTTTTCCGTCAATGTATCAAAATCAATATGAACACATACTAAAAGAAAATATTAATGAATTCTTTGATGATATATTTTAGAAAAATAAATTTATTTTAATGTAGATTGTGATTGAGTTCAACCACAATGCTTTGTAGGTCACACTATGTAGTTCTTGGTAAACTAATCTTGAAAAAAAAATCTTTTATTACGAAACAAACAAAAAATTAATAATGAACTATAAACAATCGAAAAAATATATATGTTTTATATTGATATTTTTAGTTTAACTATTGGAGTTATTGCTAATATTTTTATTACTGTTGTCTTCGTTAGACGCACATCGACACTGATAGATTAGAAAATCTTGAAAATTTTTTCAAAACATACGCCGTCGAATTCACTAAAACTGTTTTAAGAGACAATTCGTTATCGTGCCCTAAGAAATTTTTATAAACTTCAAAGGAAGAATGTATGAATGATTCTTATCTACCATTATATTGGAAGTTATAAAACGATTAAATGTTGCATAGTAATCAATGTACAAAATACACTTCGCTCGTTATAATTGATTTGAGACGATTGACAAAACGATATACGAAGTAGTCTATTTTGTACTTTAATTATTGTGTAGAATTTAATAATTAATTTTTTATAAAAATTCAAATATTTATGACGCGTCTGCATAGATATAAATAGTAACTCGAGGTGTTAACACAAACTTTGTTACTACAGCCAATGAAATGGCAAACAACAAAGTTTTATAGATCTCTTATTTGAATTTCTTGACGATTCATCAGGACAAGGAAAAAAATTGTTTCGTAAAATAGTTCTAGAAAATTTGACTGCGCATCGTTTAAAAAAGCATAAGACTTTTTCATTTGTTTGTGTAAATCTACCTGCGAAATAAACTATTTTACAAACATTTTGGAATCTCCTGCATCGTGGAAAATAGAACTTGTTTCGTGAGAGATACATCATAATATTTTATGCAAAACACAATAAAATAGAACGATTGATAACTAATTAAACACAAAGTATAATATTAAAAAAAATAGGCTACTGCATAATAGAGACTGATTCGCCGAAAGAGCATTTTCAAATAACAAATTTTGAAGTATACACCCTGTCCTCAATTATGGAAATTCTAAAGTAAAAAAATGTCTAAGGAATGAGTGTAAGTTATAATTTTCTCACTAAAATCAAAGTCTTGAGTTTTGCTCTAATGAGGAAATATTTTCAACCGATCAATCGCTTTCTCACTGGTAGTTTTCTAGAAAAACGATTTTTCAGACTAACAAGTTTTCGTTAAACGTTTTTTTTAGATCTGTCCAGATAATAGAGCATATTGAATTGCCGAGAAAACAGTAAATTTTTCTAGTATCATTCGTTTTTTTTCTGCAGAAAATACAGTCATTCTAAGTCGTACACCAGAGACGTCTCAACAGTTCAATGTGAAAATACTCTCTCGTCAAAGTAAATTAAAAATGATCTCATCAAAATGTTTGTTAGTTTAGAAAACGGGAATATAAAGATTTAATAGCGTTTCCTATGTTTGCATTTGAACTCAGTATGGCTGATAATCTATACTCCGATAACTTTTGATAAGAGCTTGTATTCGTAGTTTCACTGTTTTTAAACAAGTTCTCTTCTAGGTACCACTCGTTAAGTGTCAAGATGGCTTTTCATGAATATTATGTTACATATCAATATTTAGGAAAATTCATATCTTAGAGAAAGATTGCTTCAAAACGCTAGAACTTTTATTATTTGATAACAGTCACTTGTTAGTATGTTTCTTATCTTTCTTTAGATTTTATTATAAGTCATCAACATGAATAAGAAATGGCTGTAAAAATGTGTCTTGATAATTGCGTCATCAATACTTTTGATTTGTATGGAAAAGTTCCATGAAGAGTTCGTTATAGTTTCTCTGATGGATGATTGTAACTAGATCATGTAGTTGTCATAAGGTTCGAGAAAAAGCTTATATTCGTCTTCTTGATCAGTTTTACCCTTTTTTCTATTGTAATTATCATGATCAATTTTCTAGAAAAATAAAAAGCATGAAAGTTCTCTCGTTTACGAAAGAATATAAAGATAAGACTTTTCTCACAACCAGAAATATGATTTCATATATAAACATAGTTTATCCTGTCGGAAATCCATTTGGAATAGATATTAGTTCTTCTTGAAAATTTTCTATACTTGTCAGAAATGACAACAAGGCAATAATGAAAATATACCGTCATCCTACGCATTTCGTTATATCACGTTTGAACATCTCCTTTGCAAAACATTTTTTATAAAGTATTGACATTAAAATAAGATGTTAATAAACGAAATATTCATCAAAACAATAACGAGAATTAACTGTATAAATTGTCAAAATATCAATAATTGAAACGACTAAATTAAAAAAACAATCAATTTTTATTAACACATTTTCTGATTAAACTGATAACTGTGTCTATTATCTTATGAATGTCAATGATTTTGATAAAACGAACTATATATTCAAAACAAATATTACAGACAAATATACCTGATGTGTTTGATAATGTCGTAAGAGGAAAAAAAAGATATGAGCAAATACTCATAGAAATAAATGATAGGCCAATATTCAACTCAAGATTATGTAGGCATGTCATTCTTTCTTCTCTGTCCCTGACTTAATTCCAACAATTGAGATTTGAGCTACTTAATAACCTCCATTTTTTTTTAATATGTTTTATTTTTAAACGCTAGTTTTTTTCTGATTAATTCAAACGATGAAGACAACATGATTGTTCATCATGAACTTGTCATGCTTTGGCACTTGATAACTATATATGAATATAGCATTTATCAGCCGTGTCCAACTTCTCACTATCCACTTTCGACATGCAAACATATACTTGAACAAAGCATAACCATCACCTATGTAGAAATTAATATACATGACAAGAAAACAAAAAAAAAACTTCTTTTGTCCTTCAACGAAATTCATCGTTATTCTTTATCACCACATTAAGAGTTCTCTTTTTTTCTTCTTCTTCTGTCTAACTGTCTTTTGATCATGAATTGTCGTGTTAGTGTTAGTCGTCGTGGACAGCTTGCGCTTGACATATTTTAATATCCGTCAATTAATAAGCGATGATGGGAGAGCAAATATATACACAAACACAGTTCTCGTTTCATTCAACGACAGATAATCATGTTCAATTGGATTTTATTGAGCAAAAGAGAGAGAGAACGAGGTGTTATCTCTCTCTCTCTCTTATACTGCTAACTCCGTTTTTTCTTGCTTGCGTCAATTGTTGACTCAAGAACGCAGAGAACAACTGCAAAAAAATTAGACGATGATGATGATAATTTTGATTGATCGATCATGAGTCTCGTTTTCTCTCCCTTTGCTCTCTTTCTCCTTCTGTTTCTCTATGTTTTTCAACAAGTTATAGTAGAATCATTTATGCTTTGGGGTAACTAACTGAAAAATCATGACAACATTTTCAATAGCTTCGATTCTCGGTGATCAAAATGATAAACATGAAGAAGAAAATAGTTCAATAGAAGAACAACATCAATTCATATTAAACAATAGTGTACAACAATTATATAATATATTCTGTAAAAATGCTGCTGTTGCTACACATTTAAATGAACAAAATCATAATAAAATGAATTCAATGAGATCTTTTTCACTTGGAACAACTCCGAATTGTTCAAATGATTTTTATCAATTACATAAACTTCATGGTGCATCTTATCAAGGTAATTATTATTTAGAATCATTCAAATAAATCTATATTTGAGTTAATCAATGGTCAGAAATCCATTTACAATACAATTTTATTTTTGTAAAAAGAAAAATGATAATTATTGATTATTGATGTTGAGTGATTTTTTTTTCCTCTCGTTGTCTTCTAACACTCTTAGACATCGAGTTCATTAATTGCTTATTGATTATGGTTAGACGCGATTTTTCACACATTTCTCTTTTTTTCATTTACTGATGTTGTTGATGATCAGACTAAGAGAGATAGAGGAAGTCGGTATAATTGTTGACACACATGATCAAAAGTCAATTGAGCGCCCAAGATATATTTGTTCAACTTATTACGATGATCAAGATATTGATGTGATGATCATATGCATCTTAAATGATGATTTTAGCAGGAAATAACACCGTCGAAAATAAAAGGAATAAATTTTATTCTTTAGGTCCAACTTTATCTTATTATGGGAAATCTCGTCGGCCACGTACGGCATTTACATCTCAACAATTACTTGAACTTGAAAGACAATTTCGAGAAAATAAATATTTATCGAAATCTAAAGTAAAATATTAAATATTTTGTTTATTTTTTCCTTTTTTAAAAATATATTTTACTTATTCTTATATAGCGTTTTGAAGTGGCTACATCTTTAATGTTAAGTGAAACACAAATAAAAATATGGTAAACAAAGAAAATAGCTTTGTTTTCAATGGAAATAGTCTTTTTTTATTTTTTGTACGATAATATTAGGTTTCAGAATCGTCGAATGAAATGGAAACGTAACAAAAAAATACCATCCGGTACTTCAGAAGAATCACCAACACCAATGCTTATCAAAGGAGAACCGTCCGATACGGCTGATTCAACATCATCATTAGTTACTATGAGCCCTACTTAAGCGTTTTCTTTTGCTTTTTCTTTCATATGAATATCCTTCTTTTTTGTTGCAAAATAAAATGTAAATGAATGGTGTGCTTCTTTAATTATTTGCTTGTATGCATATGAAGTATTGAGAATAAAAATCAGTTTCAGAATAAAAGAACTCTGTATGGAAACATAAAGTGTGTTAATATCAGATAGAGATTTATCGTGTTCTAATTTGATTCATAGTTTGATTTAATATTAAAAATACGAACTTTTAAATTCAATCGATCATTTTCTAAGTCATTTGTATGCTAGAAGTTTCTCTTACTAATTCATCGCATAGTTTTTCATCACATTTAATCAATGATTTTGTTAAACATTTTTTCAAAATATGATATCTAACAAATTGTTATTAGCTGACTAAGCTTTTAAATATCACTGATAATGTTTTGAAATTTAAATCTTTGAGACATTGAAATATATTATTCGTATCCTAATTAGAATATTCATATGAACCTTGAATAAAGGAACACATTTTTTTTAAATATTACAAACACATGGACATTTAGCTTTTTCATCTAAATGATCGATCAAGATTTTATATTATTTTGTTATTAATAAAGGTATACTTTATTGAAGAACTGATTCAAAAGAGTAGAAAAACAATAATCTCTAATTCTATTTTCAATAAACAATTATTTTTTTTAATAAAATATTTTAATCTCTTGGTCAGTAGCTGCACGAAGAGTCTGAGGTTGAAAAAAGGAGATGTATTGGAAAATGTCTTATCAGGATGCTGAATATTAAAAAAAGACTCTTGTTAATACTACTAAGTAATAACGATTTATTTTCAATTATTGATTTATATACACTACTACTGTCGTCGTATGCACTTGCGGTAGTAGCATGCTGAAGGAGCTTATGTAATCACATGGCAATTTATCAATTTTAGTTAAGTAAAATGTTTCGATATATGCCGTTACAATTTGAAGTCTCCAGTAAATAAATCAAAATTTCTTGTCAACGACGAAATTTCAATGTAAAAGGATAACTGTTAGAAGAGCTTGCCTTATGAGATGTAAGTAAATAAATGCTTGAATTAATTATTCATCTATGCACGTTTCTTCAATATTCAATTGTGGATTACAAAAATTCCTATAGTTTGTACAAAAAAAAGGAACTTTTGCATACTCAGGAATATTTTTGGATGAATTTATTAAAAGTTTTATTTTACTTTCTCATTCTTTTAATTGATACTGGTGTTTGAAATAAACGTCTAATGAAAAAAGTTTGAAAAAGACTACAACTAATTATTAAAATGATGTGTATAATTGCCCATCGATTAACCCATAATAAATTTTGTTCTATTAAATAAAGATCTTTTTGATTAAGCATTTCCATTTCAATTTGTCTTTCACGTGTAACAATAACATGATGTTTAATAGAGTCTAGTGAATTCTAAAATAGTAAAAAATTTTAAAAACTTACTTACAAAATAAAAAAATTACGTACATAAGCATTAATTGATGAATTATCAAATTCTCCAGCTTCTTTTATACTAGCTAAGATTTTATCAATATGATACACATGCAAGAATACAGAAAGATATTTAGCAGAATTATCTGACTTTGTATGCGTCATACAAATATCAATTAAAGCTAAAAATATAATTAAATAATTAATAAATCAAATGATTTAAATAGATAATAATCTTGCTTGTTTCATTTGTTGTAAGTTGAAGATTACCGCGTTGAGGAGTTGTTGAAACAGCTAAAATACTTCCATTATAAGCATTGCGAAAAAAAGCAACAATACTGCTATCATGTGTTTGAGAATTTAAAATTTCATACATAAAATATACACTTGTACCGTTGTCCAATAATTCATGATAACATTCATGAGAATCTGGATGTAGCCAAAATTTAAAACGCATTTCTATTTAATATAAAAGTGGATTATATTAATCAATTTTATTTTAATTCGATCATATTTACCTTGCAGATGTTCCGAATCACTTTTTACGGTAATAAAGCCAATACTACTAAAAAGTAGAAACAATGTGTACGTTATAATCATTATTCGTATTGTCTGCGTCAGTTGAATATAGCCAAGGTAAAATCGACTCCTCTAAAGTAATGAGTGTATATGTATATATCATATATCGAAAAAGAGAATGAAAGAGAAACAAGAGAGGAATATAATTGACCATTTATTTACCTAGGGATTGTGAATCATGCATGTTGTTTGTGTCTATCCCACATTCGTGATATTGATGCACGAACAAGAGAAAGGATGAAAAAGACAGTGGGGGGGGGGGGGGGGTATGTTGAATATACATATCTTGTTCTAATTCAAACATTGAAAAAATACCATCTTTGCATAAATTTATTCATTTTTAATCACTTTCATGTCCGTAGATTATTCTATAGATACTTGGCGCTCGTTTTTTCATCATGTTGGTGCATCTTTTTCTTGTATCTATTATTAAAATATCATTATCATGTTCATTCAATATCAATGACCTATTCTTTTTATCAAATGATTCTTTTCGAAGGTATGTTGCTATTTATGACTTTGCCTTCAATGATTACCTTAGTTTTGTTATTATCCTATTAAAATGTCTCGTCATCATCATCATCACCAATGCCTTGATTTGTATTGTTGTTTACCTAACGAATTTCTTATGTCATATCCTCAACCACAAGCATCATTGTATTATCAACAGAAAAAGAAAACAATAGATCGAAATAGAAATGCTCTAGAATCAATATCTTTATCGCAACGATCAAAATGTAAACCAAAGAATTTACTTCATCCTTACAGAACATCAAAAGATCGTTATGAAAATACCGCTAATATTTCTCAAGAACGAAAGATAAATAAGATAATGTCTATAGAATCTGTAGATCATGAAGTTGAATATTATATGGTGAAAAAACCAACAACGATAACAAAACTTGATTATTCATCACAAATGGCTGATGGTGATAAAAAAAATGAGATTATTCTAGACAACTCTTTTGATGAATTTCAACAGCAAAGATTTACAAATGATCAAGAACATATTATAGATATGATGCATAAAGATATTATACGACCAATACCATGTAAACCAACTGTCAATGACCGATTGAAAACATCACCAGTCAATATAATAACAAAAAAAAAGAAAGATTTTTCTTTTCATCAAAATTAGTTTTTTTATTTAGAATTTGAAGTTATTCAAAAATTCAATATCACATTTATCTTCTTCTCAATTTTGCCAATCAACATTACCATTAAATCGTACTTCTACATGGCGTAAACTCCAAGCGAATATCACTCCATCTCATTATTATCGTATTCAAGAATTTCAGCAAGATCGTCAACAACAATATTATTCCTCCTCAACTATTCATCCTGTCATGTTACCACCTCTTCATAAACGATCAGAAATTCATAGTTCTGAAGAATCAAAAGTTATTTCAAATATCACCGATACTTATGTATCATATACATCATTATCTATTGATTTTTCAACTAATTCATCCAATGCTAATACTGATTCTAGAATTATTGAATCGATTGATGTAGATCAAAAAATTCTTGATAATGATGACAATTCGAATACAACGAATCCAATTACTAATTCACTTGAAACAGCACATCAGCTTGAAATATATTCTATAGAAAACACAGCGATTGAAAATAACAGTAATTTAATATTCGAAAAAAAAAAAACTATAATACGATTAAATCGATTGTTTTGTTTCTCATTAATTTTGATAGAAAATTTTTTAAATCAAACAATAGCAAATTCTCCATCAACATTTTCTAATAATGATCTCAAAGATGATTCTTCTACAAATATATCAGTACAAATCGCACCAAATGCAACATCATTACATGAAACTGAAAATATTGAAGAACATCAAACTTTTATTGAAATATTATCTCCACCACAAGTTCCATCTATTTTTTTGAATGATATTCTATCGTCACTTTTTCCAACTATATCGACACAACTTACTTCAACATCATCGAATAATAATCTTCTTGGCTTACATTCTCATCATTACATTCATGATGATATTAATGAAATACCATATATATTATTCGATAATATTGGAAATATGACTGAAATTTTAAGTATTGATGAAATACCACCATTGTCATTATCATTGTCATCATTTGTTGGATCAAATCATGTTACAGAAATTCATCAACCAAAAAAAGTTCACTCACTATTCGAATCCATAGAAGAACTATGTGTTTTAATCCGAACACTTCTTCAACATGAATTAACTGGACAAAAGATAACATCTCTACAAGCAACTATTGCAAGTCAACTTGCAATTTTATTAACCTATCTCGCAATACCTAATAATGATAAAATCATTTCTGAATTGATGCCAAAAACTACTATCGAAAGAATGATATCGACCGATGAAAATGATTTTTCTCTTCAACTTTCAACTGTTGAAACACAAACTGATATTGAATGGACTATTCAATTAAATGATCAAAAAGTGTTTGAATCTTCTAATCATTTACATTTTCATACTGAACCAATTCATAATGTAGTTGAATTTTCAATACATGAAGCGTCATCGTTTGACATTAAACAAGAAGACATTATTAATACATCACTATCATCTCAAAAAGTAATAAGTCACACAGATTTAATATCACAAAGTAGTAAGAATAATAAATTAATCTATAATCAAACACTTATTTATTATTTCATTAGTTAGTTTTCACTTATCTGGTCGTCGACCAAATCATGCTTTTTCAGATACATTTATTTATCATATTTATCATCGTCAACAGCATTCATTTTCTTGTCATCGATTAATTTCATTTTCTGAAACTACTATTACTTCATTCATGCATCGTTTCGATCATCATTGGATAACAAAAGAAGAAACTAAACACTTATTTAAACGTATTGGACAAAAACTTCAACATTATATTGAATTAGATTCTTCAAATACATGTTTAGAAGCCAGTACAGAATTTACACCAGATTTTCTTTTAACAACTATCAATAATTCGAAATATGATGATAGTGATGATCAAACAGAACAATTTGGTATTGATACTGAAAAACAAGATTATCAAACTGATACAATATCTATAATTACCAATGAACAGCAAGAAAAACTCGATACACTTACATTTAATTCAACTGAGAAAGATAATTATGATAGTCTAGATCTTGATATTGAACCAGGTCGAGAAAAAATTGTTAAATTTCTTATTTTTAAAAAACATATTTTAGATAATGAAGACCATCTACTATTCAGTTCAATTGGTATTCATCAATCAAAACAATGTTTAAATAACGAACCAAATATTGAAGAAGATAGTATACCAAAAAGTTCAGTAATTAACATCAATTAATCTGTCTTTTTAAATCATACTACTTCTGGTTAGAGATATTGACAGACTGATCTTTTTTCATTCAATCCACCTGATTCATAATTCGTGTGCAGGTTGAACTTCTGACAGATCTCAGGCTAGATATTTTCTCGATTTACGGATTTGATGTGTACCTACGATATCAACCCATTTACAAATTTTACTTTTCATTCTCTTCATTCTTCCTCCTTTCGTTCTACATAGAGCAACGTTCACTATTCATGCTATTTCTTCGTTTCTTCACTGATTTAGTTGCTTCTATTATTCTGGTTTCGTTCTCGATCATCTAGATTCTTTCGATTATTTGTTCTCACTACATCTTCATTCTAGTTATTCATCTAGTTGGCGGCAAGCACGTACACAAAGAGATACACTTTAAATGTAGTTATGAGTGTATAGTGAGGATTTGTTTCTTAGACTTACTGAATCATAAACCCACACCCACACATCCACATCCTCAATCTCGAATAGGTCGGATCAAAAAAAACTCCAGTCATCAACATCTCTGTTATGTGTTACTTTGTAATAATTTTTTTTTTGTAGTAAATCAATTGAATAATAGAAATCATTTCTGTCAATTACTTGAACCTCTTCTAAATACATGTCAATTGCAATTACCTATCTTACCTAGAATAACAAGTAGTATTAATTTGATCTATGAGAAACAAAATGCTAGAATTGATTTAAAACATTTGAAAATACGATCAAATCCAAACAATAGAATAAATATTATTGGAAAACAAGTTCGGATCAAATCAAATTCATCATCTAAAGTATCAACATTAACAGTCAAATCACATTCAAGTATCTATCTTATTTATAGAATCTTTGTTTTTTTTTAATTAATCTTGTCTCTAAATTCAAGATACAGAACAATCGAAGAAACTACGTGCTTTAAATTATAACAATAATTGTAATGAATATATTAGCCCAATAGACTCTTTGAGATCGTCAACATCGATGCTCAACACTAGATTATCGTCAACTAGTATTGATAGCTTATGTTCTTTAGATAGTGATACATTAGACAAAAATAGTACTGACGAATGTATAATGCTACCGAAAAATCTTCAATGGTTAATTAATCATTCAAAATCGAGTGGGTACTTGTACTCATCTTTCTCATGATTTTAAAACAATTTTAATATCTATTTCGACATATTTCACTTAGTTTTTTTGATATTTCAGAAGAACTCAGTGTACGTTCTTCTCTACCGAATATGCATGAACATTGTGCAAACCTTGTCAAAATTGGTTCTTTCGCTAAAACAAGCACGTGTCATTTGTCAAAAGTTACTGATAAATTAAATTCAAATCTTGTACTTGCTGAAAGTCTATTCAACATACTCGATTCATTCAATGACAAGTGCAATAATTCAACGGCAACGAACATTGATTTACTTCACATGTATATTCGACAATTTTTCATTGAATTTGATGCACGTATTCGTCTTGGTAGAATAAGAAGAAAGAACTTTAAGCAAAACCATAAGCAAGTAATACATTAACATACTCATTCATTCAAAACAAAATTAGACTTTTGAGTTATTGTCAAAGTTTTGGATTTAACAATTATTTTAGTAATATTCTAGAGGTTCGATTTTTATCTTTAGTCTCTTGTAATTTATTGCCTGTATTCATTGAAAAAAGATATATTTTATTCAACGAAATAAATAAAAAAAGAGCTGACAGAAAAATTATTCTATATTCATAGACAAGTTATTTTGAAACAAACAAAGAATCTAATATTTTATTAATTTATAGAGAACTTTACGAATAAATCATACGACAAAATCGACACACAAGATGATAAAAATGATAGAGATATTTGAAAAAACCTATGTAGCCACGCGATGATTGTTGACGATCGAGTGATTTCGTAGAAGAAGAACAAATAATGTCTGACATAAAATTATTACAATCTAAATAAACAGTACAATTACTCCATTTTCGTACAAAGAAATTTATGAAAGGTTCATAAGCATCATTTAAAGGTACACCATAATCAGTTTCAAATCCTTCTTTCCACCATGAATTTGGTGTAAAGAATAGCCAATAATCACCACGTGCAATTAGAAATGCGGCTAATTGTTGTTTAAGATCTTTACATTGTTCCCATGGATAATCACATGCACCATTGTACATAGCAGGAAATGTAACTGGTACATTTTTCATTGATATTGCAATTTTCATTTTTTCTGCACATTTCGCTGGTGTATCTTCACTAGATGGTATATCAGGACTTAACCAAGCTTGCCATGCATGTTTATCATATTCAAGTCCGAGTTCCCATGCTCGATTTAAAGATACTTGTTGAGCTGCATCAATAGCTTGTCGATATTCTTCAGTATAATTGGGATAGTTTGATCGTTCCGCCCAAATACCTTCATCATCATCATAAAAAACTCCATCAACAATTGAGTGAACAAATGCACTACCTATGTAATAATTTACAAAATAGTCTTGTACTTCTGGATTTCTATGATCCCAACAAAATTGATCCATACGATAGTTGTCGACTTTGACAGAATCATTATAAATAGTATCATTCGGAAATAAAACGAACCAATCAGTTTTCGAAGGATCATACATTACTTTCGCACCATTATCAAAGATGTTAAGTGCAAGTTCAGATTGACGATAAACAAATACACGAGTTTTCGGATTAACAGCTTTAATGAAGGCTGCTTGCTGAGCTAATGTTTCTTCTCGATGCATTGGAAGACCATAATGATTAGCCCAATCTATACCAACTATACCGTGCAAAGCTGCAAAAGAAACTGTTTCATTATCATAAAAACCTTCACTCGAATAGAAATAATGTTGCGTTGACAATTGCATATTGTATGTAGGTTGCCATGGAGGTAGCGGACATGGTAATCGCCATGGCATAGGACATGGTTCAAGTTCACTTTGAGTTAATATGATTAGATGTAACATTAGAATGACAATGGCAGTGAAGAACTGCATATTAATGATGATTGATCAATTTGTTCAAGTTTGAAGCGGTTCAAAGTGGCTCACTAAATCAAAAACTTGAATACAATTTTTCTTACTTCTAACTCAAGCATTTTTTCTTTCTCCATTACATTTTTTACTGTGAGGCTTCTAGAATAAAAAAATAACAGTCGAGACTGCTTTTCATCCTTTTTTTCTTCATAAGAGTATCTACGTGTGATGTAAAAAAGTGAACAAGGTGAAGAAAGAAAAAAGAAAAAAGAAAAAAAGGAATGTAAGACTAGAAGCAGCGATAATTTTTCTTGTACTCGGTTGTACCCAGAAGAGAACGAAGAATCTGAAAGTACTTTTCAATCAACGTTACTTTACATCCTTTACATCACTATGAATAAAGTTTGCTTTAATTTAAAAGATTGATTTCTATCTACAGTCATACATCAAAAACTTACGATGGCTAGATGAAATAAAAGTAAGATAATGAATTAAGAACTCATGATGTACTGTGAAAGACTTTCGAGGTGAAGACAGTATGAAGAATATTTTCTCGCATAGTAAAGGACGAGGGATAATTAAACTTTCATTGCACTGAAATTAGTATACAAATGTAACGCTCTCGTTTGATTGGATTTCATACATGATATTTCACCTGCCTATATCACTTACTCGTACCTTATACATTGTCCTTACCTTTCTATTCTTATGCTTCTGTCCTTATCTTATTGTTCTCCTATATCGGCTTCTCCTTAGTCTTATCTTCTCTGTTTTCACCCTCTCTTCTTCTATTTGCGTATATAAGCGTGTGCTACATATGTAAACGATGCGATTATATGATATGAAGGAACAGAATAAAGTGTAATACCATCAGCACTAACATCCCTTCTATCATTAATCGTCACAACAAACAATTAGAATAAAAAAGATGCAGTTAGAGAAAACAGTCCTAAAAGAACGACATTTTTTTAATTATAAATGAGAAGCCGTAAATCAACTAATGGGCTCTCTATTGACATAAAGATAGAGCTGTAGATATCTTTTCGCAAAAAGGCATCAGGTGAGAAAGATAGATAAGCTAGAGTAGACCGCCCAATAGTGATTACGAGGTATAGGTATGGGCGCATGAAGAGAAAACACTCACACTCACACTTATACTCAGACAAGTGTCCTCCAGGAATCGAAAATTTATTAAGAATGGGCGCTACTGAAAGTCGTTCTTTTTATATAAAAATTCTCCAAAATTTTATCTTTCGAGCAAACACTGTCAAAGTCAATTCAATGTTATATTGTTGAAAATAGATTTTGACATTCTTTCAAAGGTTTTTGCAGAGCTTATCAATTAAAAGAAAAATCATACATACTTATTGACAAAAATTAGACAAATTTATTAATTATTTATTAAATTGTAATTCAATTATCACGATTATTATTTTCTTTGTGATCATCATTCTTGAAATGATTATAATTCAGATTATCTCATACTATATCACTATTACTATATTTTCTTGAACGTTTTCGTTTTTCATCGACGTTTTAGATGTACTAGTCTTTTTTTCTCTTTTCAGTTGTTTAATTGATGAAAATCCGATGATAATTTTAATTTTAATTGAAGCTAGTCTCACATCGCGTAAAGTGCGACAATGACAGAAATTAGAGTTTTTGTTACGAGAGAGAGATTTTCAGCTATGTAATTGTCTTTCAATCAGAACAATGCTCAGCATATAGAGCATAATGAGCTTTGAAAACTCTAAAAAGAATTTGAGCTCTTTATCCTTATTACTGCGGAGGTGCTGTTCTTTCACGATATTTTCTTTGTTTCAATATGATGGTTACTCTCAAGAGCGCCAGGACAACTTGTTTTCGAATTTCAATTTGAAACTTTGTATATAGACAAGCCTTAGTGGAAATAGTTTATCGTGAAAGTTTTACATTTGTTCAGTCATATCCTTTGATACAGCTATGGTAAAAGCATACTTTTTACATCACACATTTATAACAATAGCTTCGATACATTTATTTCATGACAAGAA